TTGATGTACATTAGTACAACTTGAGTACACGTTGATGTACATTAGTACATCTTGAGTACACGTTGATGTACATTAGTACATCTTGAGTACACATTGATGTACTTTAGTACATCTTGAGTACACGTTGATGTACATTAGTACATCTTGAGTACTCGTTGATGTACATTAGTACATCTTGAGTAAAAAACTGCAATCACTTAAATCTCGACATTCGGAACAAGATCACTTTTAAATTAAACTAATGGTAAGACTTTTCGACCTCGTAACAGTAAGCTTGTTTTGACGCATAAAATGATTTTAAAAGCTGCTTAAATAATCGTGTTTAGTAATATTAGTACAAACTTTAATTTGCTTTAAAATGAATATTTTACAACGTATAAATTATAAACCTATAAATGCAATGCGCGCAATAAAAGTAAAAGTTGTATGGGGTGAACAATGAACATATAACTTAATCAATAATCGATTTGCTATAAAATGCATCTCTATCAAAAACGGTAGAAGTCGATTTTTATATAATTCTCTTTATGTGAACAGCGTTTGCATCTGTATATAATATTTCTCTACATAGGCTTTTCATTTTTTTATGCAGTTAATTTTTTTCAACTCGGAAATTGATGAGCATTTACGCCGCAGTCAAACTAATCGCTGCAGATTTTTTTTTTTCAAAGTTAATAACCCAGATTCATAAACTGTCAACTCTAATTTTCTCAAAGGAATTTTCAAGTAACCTCTTGTTTAGACTTAAGTGCACTTTAAAAAAGTCACCAAATTACTATTTATTGCTGAATCACAGATCGTGAACCCTAAGATCAGTTAGCGATTGATCAGAAAATTACCCCCACCCTCTCTCCTGCTCTCCCTCCGGAGAGCAGGAGGAAAAGGCGGCAAAAAATTATCGATGATATGGATTATAATTTTTTTAACAAAAAAACATGGTATATCAGTCAGTATGGTATGTCAAACAGTTAGTCGATTAACCCATGCATCTGTCTAGTTGTCTGGCTGTCAATGTCTATATGTCTAACTGTCTATCTAAGTAGATGACCCGACTGTAAACGCTTGACATAGTATAGCGGTGGATCTTCATGACGCAGGAGTGTGAGGGGTCTCACAATTCCGGGATTTTGACATTAAAATTAAACAACCTTAAAATGTCGAGTTTTAAATAAAACAAAAAAAAAATTGTCCATGTCAACAAATAACTTATTGTTAAAATAGTAAAAAGTATATACTTTTTTATCTAATTCAAGTTATACATATATTTTTTTCAATGGCTTGTCATCTTAATAATAAAAAGTCCATTAAAACAAAATTACTTTTATTAGTACCGCCATATTTTTTTGCTTGTCTCTGCTGTAGAATTCCTAAAGTTTGCTACGGTTGTTTACATAAAGAAACATCAAGGATATTTCCATCATCAGATATAAATGTTTATCTATCTCTATTATCATTCTGTTCAGAAATCAACATTTTACAAATCAAATCAGAAGAAGCAAATCTTTCAAGTCCATTACGCGCCGAAATAGCACTATAACCATACTTTAATTGCAAAAATGAAATATTAAATTTCCTCAAATATATTTTACATCAAATACAGAAATATTTATTACCCTTGCCCAGTAAAGGGCAAGAATGCTTATTACTTTTCAAATTAGTAGGTTCAGTTGGAATCATAGAGAAATAACAAATAAAGAGTCAGTGTGCTTATATCATAATTCCCTAAGATATACATGAATGAACCACCCCAGCAGAATTGATGGTGTGGTTCAATGTGTTCATTCCGATACAAAAGATTCTGCTGGTGTGCCTCATTGAGTTCATAATGATACAAAAGAGTCTGCTGGTGTGGTTCATTGTGTACATTCCAATATAAAAGATTCTGCTGTCGAGTGGTTTATTATGTTCATTCCGATTTAAAAGATTCTGCTGGAGTGGTTCATTGTGTACATTCAGAAGGAAAGATTTTGCTGATGTGGTTCATTGTTTGTATTCTGAAAATAAACATTCTGCTGGTGTGGTTTATTGTGTACATTCCAATATGAAAGATTCTGTTGGTGTGACTAAGGTTTATTGTGTACATTCTGATACAAAAGGTTCTGCTGGTGTGGTTTATTGTGTACATTCCAATATGAAAGATTCTGTTGGTGTGACTAAGGTTTATTGTGTACATTCTGATACAAAAGATTCTGCAGGGGTGAAGCATTGTGTTCATTAGAAAGAATCCAACTCTTCCATTATTTTATTCCTCTATGTTTAAAACTATAATCGTGATTTATGTACTGCAAACACTATACTCCTCACCTAATGTTAAATCTATGAGAGTATTCAGATATGTTGGAATGGGGTTTATGATAAAAATACCTATCATCAAGATTTATGCAGGCACATTGCACAATCCAAATGTTTCGGTCCCACTTACATAATACTGTATACACCCACCACTAAAACCCGCTTTTTCTTTGGACAGTGTACTGCAGTACACCCCAAAATATTAGTTTGCAGTGTACATGCCTAGAATTTAGAGCCTTTATATTTGCATTGGCCTGGTTTGACTACAGGTGTATAGTTGAAAAAGTGAAGAAGTTTAAGCCTTCTAATGTAAGCCGTTTTAAAGTTATTTTTAAAAAACACAGGGTGGAGGGTGGTATAACCCCCCCCCCCCAGCCGTGATATGGTTAAAGAGCATTTAATTTAAAAAGTGTTTAATGGATCTTTGATATTTTCTGAACCTGCACTGCCGAGTTGGAACGGCTGTTATCATAGCTTTGATAGAATTGTATAAAAAGTATTAGATAATGGGATTTAATAAGAAATAGAAAAATTAATTATGATCAATTAATCTAAGATAGTTATCATATTGCTACACATATGCAACAGAAAGAACACGTTTTAAGAGAATATATGTACCGAGGGGAAAACAGCTTTTGCAGTGCCTGGATCTTTGAGATGATATGTTTTAACACGATTACAGTTAACAGTCAATCTTCTACTTTTTTCTGTGAAAACAATTTTCTCCTTGCTAGCTTGAGTAGAAATATTACCATGAACCTATAAATTGGCATTAATCAAAGAGTCATTGTTTTACAAATTGGGAAATTTTTATTTTAATATTTTTTACAAATTACAATTTTACATGTTTATAATGTATATAATATTTTTTTCCAATATTCTTGATTCATGATTTACTTTATTTAACTGTGTTGCATTATTTACATAGCCCCCCCCCCCCATCAAAGTCATAATTATGACTGCTTTGTGAATTAATTTTCGTATCTACCCTTAGGATGTTAGGGGAAAAAAATGCAAAGCGCCAAGAGCACTGAATTTAAAAACTCTTAAATAAACCTACTAATTAAATATTTTTATAAAAAACAGCCTGGGTTATTTGCAAACAAAAAGATGTAAAATGTTTTTTTTAAGATTAAAATGTCAATTATAAATCTGTTATAGTTGTCTTTAATATAAATAAAATGTGAAGAAATTCTAATCTTACATTTTTTTCTTTCATAATCACGGTAAATTATGCCGGGGCATGGTTAAAGTAAATTTTAGTAAGTTTACTTGTAAAAAAACATTCTTTAAGTAGTCATTGATTTTGTCCAGATGTATATTTGGCACTTTTTTCATAAAAATGTTCAGATCCTTTCAGCACGTGTTATAAAAGTTTCTATAATAAAAAATAAAACAAAAATGTAAAAAAAATTTCACACTTTTAAATTCATGCAGCGCATCAGGTTTTTGTAAAAATAAATCACTGGTGCAAGCAAAAATATTTTTTTCCCAAAATCTACGTAAGCAAACAAAATTGCAGTGAGCAGATTCTTTATTTTCAGCCGCGAAGGTTTAAAATTCAAAATATTTAGACTTTTTGTCCATAAGTTTAGAAACAATAAAAGTGTTAAATAAATACAAAAACTTTTCAAGAACATAAATATGCAATAGTTGTATAAAATGTTAAATATAAAAATCTGCGTAAATCCTAATTAGAACAAATGTTTGTAAAATGAAAAATATAAAAATCCGCGTAAATCCTTGATCGTAAAACAAATGTTTGTAAAATGAAAAATATAAAAATACGCGTAAATCCTTGATCGTAAAACAAATGTTTGTAAAATGAAAAATATAAAAATCCNCCCCCCCCCACTCGAACGGCTGGCAGAGAGTTTGAAGAGCTGAGAGCGGTATCTCTGCTCGAGATATAAATACATTACTCCTCTTCAGTTCGGTATTCAGTTCAACACATCTTCTCCAACATGAGAGTATTCCTTCTTCTAGGTAGGATACTAGAGACTAGATCTTAAATATCTTGGATAAGATTCGGGTTTGCAACCGGAGTCAAGATCGGAGCAAAACTGTTCCAACCTTTTTCAATCTTTTTTAAATATCTTTCTAAAGATTTGGATTTTCAACCGCAGTCAAGATCGGAGCAAAACTGTTTTAATCAGATCTTATATTCAATATCTTGGACAAGATTTAGGTTTTCAACCGAAGTCAAGATCGGACAAAACTGGTCCGATCTTGTGTTTAACTTAATCAATCTTCGATAAAGTATCTTTCATAAGATTCGGATTTGCAACCGGAGTCAAGATCTGACCAGAACTGTTCCAATCTGTTTTCTTTCTTTTATTCACAAGAAGATAAAGATTCAACACCAGAGTCGAGAATGTCTTTTAGATTTTACGGTTTAAATTTTTCCCCCAAAATAATTCATGCTTTTGGGTGTTTAAACTTTAATTTAATTTTTTTCTTAATCGTCTCTTTTATTATTTGATAATGATGTTTGACTTAACTCATCGTCTTTTGACTCTAAGATGAGATTCGAATCTTTTATTACATAACTTGGATAAGAGTTAAGGTTGCAACCGGAGTTTCGATTCTTTACCTTTTTTATATGTTTCCAAAGACGATAAAATCCCTCCACGGAGCGATCTTCTGATCTAACGTTTTTAATTTTTTCCATAATTATTTTTTGGATTTGTTTTTCTAATATTCTGCTGTATTATCCTAATAATGTTTCTAACTTAATCCGTATTTTCAAATATTATGCTGAGCCCTCCCCAAAATTCAATACTTTTCTATATTATTAAACTGTTTAAAAATCCTTCCACTGTTCATGTTTTTTTCTTCAAATTTCTTTCCAAAAAATTGTCTTTCCGAAGCTGTAAAATTAATCGTTTATTTTTTTTCAATACCTTAACACATTTTTAAATCTATATTATGCACAAACTTCACTTAAAAATACAATAGAGCCAAGAACGGGGACCATTTCTCCGATCTTCATTCCCTAACTTTATATTTATAACATAGTATCTTCAAATTACACTAAATCCGCAAAATAAAATAGTTTTTTTTGATTTCATTACTTAAAACTTTCAAAACTTAAACTTCAAGAATTGAACTAATTTTTTTTTGATGATATGTTTTAGAATTATCTTTCTAAAGAAGCAATACAAGTTATGCATGATTATAATGATTATGCCATCACTAAAAGCATTTTCCCAATCATTAATCTCTTTGGAAAAACTGATTTCTTATTTGCGGTTTTACGCCATTGAAATCTTGAAATAAAATAAATTATTTCTGCGTCATTGAATAAGTGGAGAAGAGAACTTAAGAAAAACATGAGTAATTTATAATAAACGTGCACAATATTTGGCGCTAAATCTAGGGTGCACGCACGCTCGCCTGTAGGTCTACCAAATCGTGCATGTTGGGTGAATTTATTAATTGTGTTAGTAAACAATAGGTACATTTAGCGTCATATTCCGGTGGTAGCAGACCCTTAATAGGTGCCTGAAATTACGCAAACCATGCGTAAAAAAGTCACTGCACTCAAAACTAAATCATCATTAGCGAAATGCTGTACAGAGTTAATGACGCTTTTTGTCTATGGCCTGAAATTGCGTTAGTTAAGATTGAAACCATTGCGAGAATTTATCATTGAAATTTTTGAATGCAGTTGGAAGTATTTTAAATCCAAATCTTTTGGGTTTTTATGACGTTTTCAAGTTTTATTTCAATGTTTCGAAAACGTTTAGTCTGTGTACTGTATCCTATATGTAAAGTTTTATAACACAATGTAACCATGTTTCAGTGCTAAATCTAAAGAATACTTGAATGAGACGTTGATGCGCGAACTTAACCCTCGCCTTCCCCCCTCCTTGCAAAATTCCACCTCCCCCTCTTCTCGACCTTACTCGAGTCTAGCCCCTGCTGTTTGCCCCCTATCGACCTATATATAACAAGCCTGACAGCCCTTGGGCATGATGCAATTGATAGGAATTGGCAAAGATATGTCCCGGGAGGTGGCAACAATAATTTAAAAGCATAACTAATGGGGTTAAATGAGGAAAAGCTAAGGGGGGTTTATCTCCGGGTTAAATCATCTTCTGTATGTGCTAGAATTGATTAGTTCGCCCGATTAAAAAATAATGAATTGGTTAAATGCCTGTTTAGCCCCCCAACCTGTAAACCATTTTATCTTTTAAGGGGGGTGGGGATTCCCCTCTGTATCTCTATCTCCATGGAAGGGGGGAGGGCGGGGATACGGTCAACATGATTAATTTAGAATTTTAGCAATCTCCATTTTAATTAAATATTGCTCAGCTAGATTGAAATTGATTCATTAAAGCCGGTATAATACATTAATTCATTAATTCATCAGCATAATTCAATATTCATCCTTTATTCATCCTTTGTCATTTATTCATCAGCATAATTCAATATTCATCCTTCATTCATCCTTTGTCATTTATTCATCAGCATAATTCAATATTCATCCTTTATTCATCCTTTGTCATTTATTCATCAGCATAATTCAATATTCATCCTTCATTTATCAATTTTTCAATATATTTAATTAATCATTTCATGATGTACTGCAAAGATTTCAAGTACATTGTACAGTTTTTATTGTACTATCTATGTACTTGAAATTCTTAAGTCTAAATATATCCCTAATAAAATGACGGGTTGGCAGTTTAACCCTTGTAACCTTACATTTAATTAATACTTCCTACCCCCCCCCCCCCTCCCATCACTTTACAATACTTTTACAATTTGTCACTTATATCTATCTATCTTCTATCTATATCTAGCTATCTATCCTTATTTCTCTAACCATTATTATATCCATCTTATTTTTCTATCCTTATTTTTCTAACCATTTCTATATCCATCTTATTTTTCTATCCTTATTTCTCTAATCAACTATCTATCCATCTTATTTTTCTATCCTTATTTATCTAATTATTTATCTATCCATCTTATTTTTCTATCCTTATTTATCTATCCATTTATCTATCCATCTTATTTTTCTATCCTTATTTCTCTAACCATTTCTTTATCCATCTTATTTTTCTATCCTTATTTCTCAACCGTTTATCTATCCATCTTATTTTTCTATCCTTATTTCTCTAACCGTTTAGCTATCCGTCTATTTATCTTATTCATCCTTTCGTGTTCTAATTCCCCCCTATTTAGCTAACTTAAATTTATGCATATCCTTCCCACCACCCTTTTCCTTCCGGCTCCATTCATCTTCGCGTGTTTAAGATGTTTTGTTGGTCATTGCGTGGGCGCGCGCGTTTAGGAATTAACCCAGTAAAATTGGTTTGAATGGCTTTACACTTTTCACGATACATCGGAGACCTCCATGAACTTAATATTCAACATTGTTTTGGGGGGATGGTCCTGATCCTGATGCTGATGCTGATCCTGATCCTGATCCTGATCCTGATCCTGATCCTGATCCTGATCCTGATCCTGATCCTGATCCACTGATCCTAATCCTGATTCTGATCCTGAGCTTGATCTAAATGTATCGTGATTATGTTTATTTGATTATGATTTATACTGGAATACCTTTACAAATGTATAATTATATTTGATGAAAGAGTTCTATATTTAGAAGCTCAATAAAATACCTCCCGTAATAGATCGGTTCAACATTCAAACTTTTTGTTTTAATCCTGTAGCTTAGTATTCAACCATCCAGCACCCGTGTTAATTTAGACATTCATTCACTCATTCATTCTTTATCAATAATTCGTTCCTCCATCCTTGGCTATGAATGTGTAATCATGTGAACATGGAAGAGGTTAATTATGCCGTATTCTGCATAATTACGTAAATTATTATAGACTATCTTTTATAGACTGTTGCATGATTACCCGGTATAAACTCCCTGGTTTAGCTTTTATATTTTTAAATTATCATTTTGCAAACATTGTAATATTGTTCTTTAGTGTATTGGAGTCTCTGAGACGTAACGATGTCTTTCTTTATTGCGTCGGGGTCACCGAAAAACCTCGATTATGTCTGTATATGTTGAGTATAGGGTATACAGTTATACATAGATAGATGAGTCTATATTTACGCCCTGTAACTAAACCCTAGAATAATTCTCAAACCATTAAACACCATTAGAACATCTTTATGGGAGGTTTTAAGACTGGCTTCAGGGATAAAATCATCAGAGTTTAACCCATGTCTCTCATCATTTACAGAATACTGATCACTATATAAATCTTTATATTTCTTTAAACATTTAAGTTTTTTGGGGTTTGATTCGAAAATGATGTACTTTTATAAAGTTTATAAATATTACTTTTAGAAAGTTTATAAATATTACTTTTAGAAAGTTTAAAAATATTACTTTTAGAAAGTTTATAAATATTACTTTTAAAAACTATTATACTGATGAATATATTTCCTATAGTCCCCCGTCGGTTTATCGTCTTGAAGCGCTGGGATTATATAATTATTGAAACATCAAACTCCTCCATACTGCAGCTAGGCCTAGACACCATTTCCTATATTTAAATATGTTTATGGATCGTTCTCACAGATTTGTACAAAATATGATTTATTGATTGGCCCATTAATCTCAAATATCTACAGGATTTATTTATCCGTTTATTCGTCTTCCCCTTTGTTCACCATAGTTTTAGCGGATATTTTCCTTTTTTTCCGTATAGTTAAAGAATAACTGTTTTGAGGTTGAAAAAATGGAATTGAATGTCGTGCTCGAGTATTAATCAAGCGACCAAAATGTATCCAATCCATAACCAAACTCAACCCCAACTTTTAACCTCATCCTGTTCGGATACTGTTTTTAAGAGATTTAAACGTCGGAGTCAGATTGACTTTAGGATAGGATCACACGCCCCATAGTGCATTCAATCCTTGGGGTGGGGGGGTTAAATAGAACGTTATAAATTTAGACTAACGTTTTATAAATTCTTCAAATCTTTAATAGTTTTTTTAGAATATGACTAAATAGAATTAATATCAAATGAAGATGGATGGGAAAAGGGTGTACACACTACAAACAAATTGTCTAATTTGAATTAGATCTGGATTCTAATGTTGAGGCAACGCCTCCTAATTCCTTTCTGTATATGCCAAGGGACCAGACCCTAATTTTACAGGTTTTTATCTGGGTTGCAATAATAATAATAATATCTATTCTACAGGGGTTGATGATGATTCATGGCCACTCCAGTCATAAACAATATATGCTGGAAGCTGATGGGTTTACAAAGATAAGATGGCGCCTAATATATTAAAAATCCGCGGCATTTTCTGTGTTGTGTAGTGTATACACTACTATTTAACTTTATCTACAATCATAATCTATTAAATTGTTCAGAAATTTGTTTCAAATATTTTGTTTAATTTAATATATTTTTAGTGCTTGTAGCTGCCGTTCTCGGTGATGGACTCCATGGTGGGGCCCGAGCTGGACGTGCAGGCAATAGAGCTGCGCCTAGAAGGTAAAAAAAATCAACAACAAAAAAGACGAAAATTGTATTTTTAACATTTTTATCCCAGGGAAGGCCGCCGTCTTTCTGGACAAACCCCCCGTAGAGGACGCCAGGATGCTGCTCCAGGAGGATATGCTGCTCCTGATGCTGCTCCTGCTCCCGCTGACGGTGGTTATGCTGCGCCTTCCAATGATGTTCCCGTGTATACTGGTGAGGATGCCCTAGGAGGATATGCTGCTGATGATGCTGGTTCTGACCCTGCTCTAGATATGCTGGCATCCTCTATCCCCGGAGTACCTGGAGAGGATTATCCAATCTACGCTGAGGTTCCTGAGTCTGGTTTTACCTGTGATGGTCAAGTTGATGGAGGTATTCTTAATCTTCTTATTTACAATCTGAAAACTTTTTTACATATATCGGATCTCTTCATCTTTTAATTTAAAAATATCTTTTTCAATTCACTATTCTTCTCTTTCCTTTCAACCTTTTGAAAATTAAAAAATGTCCAGATTAAATCTGATCAAATCTAAATAAAAAAGATAAGCTGCATCTTATATCTGGACATATAAACCCTAAAGTTCATCCTCTATCCCTCTCCCCCGTCACTCTTCTTTTTATAACTCTTATTTTCCTTGAGGCTAATCATGATTATATTTATCCAATCTGTTTTTCAATTGGTTGACAGATTAAACCAAAGTTTTTACTCTGCTTCGTTGCTGTATATACATATTATTGTGTCGAGACAGTCATTTGCGGTACATGAACCCCTTGAGGGTAAACAATTAGGTTCTCTAATACGAGGGGGGAGAGACTGAACCCATGATTTATTTCGAGAGTGCTCATCTTCCCTGCTATGCATATAATTTTACCATTATCAATGCATGATTATTTTTCAAGAGAGTTTAAGATCAACCATAATTAGAATCATCTTGATCTGTTTTGTAAGTTCTAATGTTTAGGTTACTATGCTGACCCTGAGGCTGAATGCCAGGTCTTCCATATCTGCACTGCTGACGGTCAAGGAGGTCTTTCCAAGTACAGTTTCCTCTGTCCAAACGGAACCATCTTCAATCAGAACTACTTCATCTGTGACTGGTGGTTCAACTTTGACTGCTCCGAAGCTGAAGCTCTTGCTGCTGAGAAGAATGCTGAACTTGCCGCTGCTAGAGAGGAAGCTTCTGCATCTGCTGATCAAGCATCTTATGAAGCTCCTTCTGCTGATGTTAGCTACGCTGCTCCTGCTGCTGCTGCTACTGAATTACCCGCCTATGATGATTACGAGGCTGACGCATCCCTATCTGGCTATGAGGAGACAACCGCCGCCCCTCTTGGAGGTTATGAGGCTCCTCAAGAAGAAAGGAGACGGAAGGCTCTAGGAGGACGTCAAGCTGGACGTGCTGGACGTCGTCTCCAGGGAGGAAGTGCCAATGGACGTCGTCCCAACCAGAGAGCTGGTCCTCGTCGTGGATAATTAGATTATAACACCCAACCTGCCATAATATAGTATTAGTACGACATAAGAAAGAATCAAGCGACGCCGATCATTTGTGATGGAGAGAGGGCAACAAGACATGATACTTAAACAAAAACCCCGGTTGAGAGATCTGCCAACAAACTTATTCGTCTGACAACTGCATTAATGCAAGAATGACATGAGACCAATCTGTGGAGCAAGCATCGTTCAACCTTCTAATTATACATACCACGGTTTTCTTCCTCCCCCTTTCCTCCGTTTTTCTTCCTATCAACCTGCCTCCCCCTTCGTTCTGTTCTTATTCCTTCTGTTCTTTTTCCTTTCATCCTTCCTCCCCCCTTCCTTTTATTCTTCCTTTATCCTATTTGAAATATTAAAACAGATCTGACTCTAACTTCACGGTCTTGGGTTTTGATATGTTTCCATCTTGGTACAGTACAGTATGAAAGACCACCAGCAAACCAATTGTGCCAATTTATTTAAATCTTCGCTGCCAGCAGGCGTCACCCCACCCCCAGCCTGTCAATCTATTGACGTCTGAATCAAGTATTAATCCCTCCAAAACCAATCCATTCTTTTCTCAGGGTCAATCTTCATCCTTCTTCAAAACCTACCTCACTCCTTCTCATCCTTCTCATCCTACTCATCCTTCTCATCCTTCTCCTCCTTCTCATCCTTCTCATCCTTCTCATCCTTATCATCCTTCTCATCCTTATCATCTTTCTCATCCTTCTCATCCACTCCACAATATTTTTTTCAAAGTCTTGCCCAGTCTTTCATCAGAATTCATATTTATTTATTTATATTCATATTTTACTGTGATACGACAATACAATGGCATTATTTAGGCATTAGTCCCCCTCCATCTCTCATACCTTTTCAAAATAAGCTCAGAAGATTTATCTCTAGACTTGGATATAGCTTTAACTATATGTAAACTAGTCGTATATTTAGATATTTTTGTAGAATAAATTATTGCAAATGATTCCTGTGTGTTTGTTTAGTGATCAGACATGCATAAAATTAAAAAACGATGAGATAATAAAACTGGCTCAGTACTATACATTTAACAGTCTGACAAAATATGCATTTATTTTATTTGAAATATTTTTAATTATTTTTTTATTAATTATTTATTAAAGAATCTACAAATAATGTGTAGAGACTCATAGAGCACACATCACAAATTTACGTTTTAAGTTTCACTTAAAATTACCCCAACATTTTTTTGAAAATTGAAAGTATAGGATTAGCCGATTTCAAAACATCTTTAAAATAAATTTGATGAGTAACCGTTTTTGAGAAAATGGGGTTTTGAAATATTTGCCAAAAGGGATCCTATTTTGACAGGACGGAAAGGTGATAATCATCGAATCTATAAAGTTTAGAAGTAAAAGTTACAAAATAGACTCAAAATATTTTTTATTTTATTAATAGTCGGTTTTCTTATGTTTGGCCCTTTTTTACCGTATCACAATTCATATTTGAATTGAATTAATTCAAAAAAGGATCCTAGTTTGCCAGGACTGAAAACTGTAAAAAGGTGATAATCATCTTATCTAGTTTACATAAAAAAAATTAAGAAATTAGACCCAAAATATTTTTTATTCTAAAGGGAGTTAGTCATCTAACATTAATCTCTCCTGTGGCCGAATATAAAGAATTTGAGAGGCGGTTTAAATTTAGGTCGCGGTTTAAATAGGGATGGTTCCATTTAAAATTGTATCAAATGTTTCAAGATTTAAGCCGGTGCTTAACTTAAACCGGGTTTTGGCGGATTTAAGCCGCGGCTCAAATTCTTTAAATTCCATCTCTGATTATATTTTCAGTGGTATGTAAAATATCATGATTAAAAACATGGTTCAAGCTTAATAAAATACTGTTATCACCAAACCCTAAGCCAACTACAGAATAAAAATAAACTACCATGTGTGAGAGGGTCAATATGTAAAAATTAATGATTTGGATGGAAAAAGAAAATTTTTTTATTAAAACTAAAAAAATGATATATTTTAGTCAAAAGAAATGAATTGAGTCTTTGCCACAAACTTAAATTTTCTAATCCCATATATCTTTGCAATCAGATGGTGAAACCCTTTGGTAATTTAATTTAAGACTATTAGATCTAACAGAATTCAAAGTTTAGAATATTTAAGGTCTACAACATTAGGTTGCAAAGATATAAAACTCATTTTCATTTTTGTTGATACCCGGGATCAATAATTAATCTTTGTCTTTTTTATTACTTTCTCTAGGCAGGGATAACTAATTGAGTAATAATGATTATTGAGGAATCAAGCATGTCATCCTGAAATTTAAAATTTGTCACAGTTAATATCAAGATCCAACGTTGAAGTCTGTAGATTAGCGCTATTTTGACCTTTTTCAAATTTTATTTCAAATTACAAATACTATGCAGCACAGCTGTAGATTTCTATATTTCTTAATTTTGAATCTCTTAACTTAAAAATTTAGATTCGCTAGGGGTGGTAATATTTAAACAAGATTTCCAGGTGACAAGCAAATTTAACTACTAATTTTTCAACTCTCAAATTATTTTGAATTCCCCGCGATTTTAACCTTCAAGGGACTGTAAGCTTAATTTCAAGTGATCCTCCATTTAAAGAGAGACATGTCAGATTCATAACAGTACCCGTAAATGCTTTCTCTAATCATGAATGGGTTAGATATCCATGGTTTTGTTTTTGAAAACTGTTTATTTTCATGTGTGGTTTCCCTGCAAAATGACTTGCGCACTCCTTGCTTTAGAAACAACGGAGAAATTATCAGCATAAAATGTTTTTAAGCCAGAAACACGCTTCTGTTTTCATTATTATTAATCAGTTTCTGGTTTCAAGTATACCGTTTTAAATCGGACCTGTCCTACTTCAAATATAGAACCACGTGAAATTACGCTTACAGTCCCTTTAAATGTAAACAAATTCTCATACATAGTAACAAAATATCACCTTTTTATTTCACCAAGGAGTATGGAATAGAAGGGAGATACAACTGACGCGGCCCGCCCTATAATATGATTATGCATGCTTTGCAGACAGGTACTCCAGTTCTAGAAGAAATATTCAGAATAGGTTATTGTATACGCGGTTACTAGAAATAAATACATACAAAGCTTGTAAAATCATATTGTATGGCAGACCGCATCAGTTGTATCTCCCTTCTATTTCATACTCCTTGAATCGGACCTACCAATTCTAATTTAAGAAACGTAAAGGAACTGTATGCATCATTTTAAGTGACTCTACATTTTTAAGTCTCTTGAAATAAGTGAACAGTCCCTTAAACTCTTTAATATTTTTAAAACGCTCAAACGAAATCCAATAAAAATAAATACAATTTGGTTTAAAAAAATTACCACGCACAATTTCGCACATTTGACAATTATATTTACGAAAAAACAGCACGAATAAGAGATAATGCGGTTCACCTCTTCATAAATTATCACATAATATAAATCATCAAAAAAGTGAAATATTATTAAAATTTGTATTTTTGTTAGATTAAATATGTCAAATGTCAAGATTTTGCTTCTTTAAGTGATCACTGAATGAGTTACGATTAATGCGTGTGTGACTAATGACTATTTATTTGTAATAAATCATCAAAACGTATGAGAACTTTATTTTTGTTTTTAGATATTATAAAATAATCAAATGAATTGAGTCTTTGCCACAAACTCTATTGTTCCAATCCTTATATATTTGCAACCAATTTCGTAGACCCTTGCTATTTTGAACTGAGATTATTTGATCTTACAGATTGAATTATATTAAGTCGCCACATTGGTTGTAAAGATTTAGGGATCAGAAAAACAAAGTTTGTTATACAAAGACTAAATTCTTTTTATTTTTTTTTATTTTATTTTAATTTATAAATATCGATAATCATTCTGCTTTTCCCAAATTAGCTTGACACTTTAAAAATAAAAATCGCTTGAAATTACGCCAATGTTCATATTAAGATTACGTCTAATGTACCAAGGTTTTATGAACGTAATTTCGGTTAAATCCAAGTAATTGAAATTACAAACAAATAGATTTTTTAAAGGTACGAACAGAAGTAAATCCCAAAACTGATAAAGTACAATTTCGTAGGTTGATCATTAACTATGCGATATCATATTTATTGGGAATATCTTTGGTCCAAGACGTCGTAATAATGATGCAATTCTTCACAAATTAAAAGTTGTTAAGACAAATTCTTAAAATATGGAAATTGAAATTTGATTTCTGTTATAAATAAAAAAAAACTTTTCTTTTTTCGTTAATGTTTTAAATGATCAAATTGAATTAAATTTCTTTGAAACGTTAATTTTATAATATTCATCCCTGATAATAACCCCTGTACACTGTGTGAAGATCTATCATGAAAATAACCCAGTTCTTACTCTTCAACCTAATTCAAGAAGATCGAGGATCCGGGGATATGCAACCCGCGATACTGGAGATACAGGGGATACAGGGGATACAGGGGATACAGGGGATACAGGGGATAGAGGGGATACAGGGGATACAGTGGATACCAGGGGATACAGGGGATACAGTGGGATCCAGAATAAGTTAAAACTGTTTTTGTAAATGTTCCATCTATAAGTTTAGAGATGTACATATAATATTGATATCTAATAATATTGAGGTTAAGGTTCAGATTAAATAGTTTTAAATATATTGAATAAATGTATGTGAAGATTTGAAATGTTAGGATCCAGATGGATTGACAGATACCTAAATAGGAAATCATTATTCTTAATACTTAACAGGAAAAAGATTGCCTTTTAATATCTGAGAGAATTCTGGCTGATTATACATTGGTTTATTTTAATTTGTACTTTTTTACATTGAAAAGTAAACTCTTTTTTATTTTCTAAGAAACTGAGTTTGTTTCACAAATTCAAATTGTCTAGTCCCTATATCTTTTGCAACCTGATGGTGTAAACCTTTAAAGGGACAGACCGGCCATGTAAGGTAGTTAAACTGAGTATGCAATGTTGTGGACAAATTCTTTAGGATTCATTTAAGACTTATAAAACTTT